TCATATCTTTCTGCTGTTCATTCTGATGGCCTGCCATGAGCCACTTCTGTGCTATAACAGAGGAAGGCTCTTTCACACCTGATTTCTTTTTGTTCCAACCGTTTATGTGCAGCTACACAATGTGCTAGTACTAGTGTAGCCCAATGGATAGAGCACTCAACTGTGGAGCCAGGAACTGGGAGTTCACATCCTCACTATGACTTCCAGAGAAGGGCCAGCTGATATAATCCAGAACATGGGAGCACTCAACTGTGGAGCCAAGAACTGGAAGTTCACATCCTCACTATGACTTCCAGGGAAGGGCCAGCTGATATAATCCAGAACATGTGTCCCTGATGGGATTAATTCTTTTTCTATCCTTGTAGCCTTGGAAAGCTGGATGGTCCCAGTGTGTCAGCAAAGATGGAATTGGTAAACCACTCCTGACTTCTTTGTACTTAAAAATTCTGTAAGAGTTGCAAGCTCAACAGCACATAATTAATTGTCACATGCAAAACCCCATCTTTAGGACAATTTTGTATCAGAGGTCAGCAATTAAAGTATCTAACACTTTTAATGGGCAAAATCCTGTTGCATGAATTTATGGTAGCGTAACCTGTTGGAGTTTTTACAGCCTTGCATACTGCCTGGAGAAAGTGTGTCTGGGAGAGACCTTTCTGGGCTGGGGTGACTGTCAATCTATCCAAGACTAACCAATTGTGCCCTCCTGCCTCTGAGTTCAAAGAGAGCCCTGCCTCTTTGCTAAGTGTTTCCTTTCCTCTCTTTCGTCATGTTGAAAGCAACCATGTTTGATCGGTTCACAACTGTTAGTAAAGGAAATGGCTTTTATTCTTTCTCCTATTAATTTCTCTTATTTATTTTATTTTATTTTATTTCTGCACCGTCCATCTGGCAGCCAAGGCCACTCTGGGCGTTTTACAAGTGCCAAGTAAGTACCAGTAATGAGAAAAGAGATAGACTGCCCTTGGGAACTTGAAGCTATTCTACTCTGTGAATCCCTGCACTTCTGCTGTGCAGCTAAAGGGATCTAACCAAAATTAAAAACTCTGATATATAACCCAGACCAGGCACAGGAAATATTTAATTTAAAAATCAATGGAACACTTCTTTACCCTGCCCATGCCCCATTTCATGCTCCAAGACTCCCTAGGCTGCCTTTTCACTATGAGGAAGCCTTTGGGGGGCATGTCTTGGGACTTAGCGGGGAAATAGTAAAAATCACTGCTGGATTGCCACTAATGCAATTGTGGCTACTAGTTGTGATTGGGGGTGATTTCTTTTTACTATTAAAGGCGCCTTCCTAAGATTCCAAGGCCGCCAAAGGCTTCCCCGGAGCAGAAGGAGTCCTAAGGAGCCTCACTAGTTTAAATTATATATTTTCTTTAATATTTAATAGTTAAATTAAATAATTTGGCACTGATTCAGAATACGCTGTGTAAATTTATGCCAATAAAATTTTGCTCAGTGTGTTCTGTATATTAGCCCTGCAGTGGCATCTCTGGAAAGAGTTGCTGTATCTGGAAACCACTGATCTACAAGTAGGATTTAATATGCGAATTACAGTATGTGTTTGTTAATGCACAGTGTGATAGCAAAATAGTGTATACTGTCACCTGCACATACCACTTCCTTTACTCACAGATGAGAGGTGTCCTTCATGCTTTAATATTTGTGCCTCCTATGGACGCCAGCCATAGAGGCACAATGAAAAATGGTTCGTGATGTATACAGAGGACATCCTTGTCTTGGAGTAGCAGACAGTGTCTCAGCTAATTAAATTAATAGCCCTCTCTGTATAAATTTATGGTCTGGCGTTTTTGTTCTCTTTTAGCTTCCTATGATTCTAATCAAGTTTTTGTACTGGGAACATTCTGATTAAAATGTGTGGACATGTTATTTTAATTGATTGCAGGAACAGAATGTTAATTTTCATCTCTTCATTATCCCCTCTTCAGTACCCTACGAGATCAGGAACATGCTATGAAAAGAGGGAGGAGGAGGTTAACACTTGATTCACCACACCACCATGCATCTAATAAAAATGAACCATCCAAATTTGCTGTTGAATTTTGTTGTGTTAGTTTACATTAACACCAGTGGAACCTTCTGGAGAGCTTCTGAGGAATGTTGACATTTGTTGATACTGTGTCATCAAATTTTTCCTTCAAGAATAAAGTTAATACTTCTGTTTGTCAGTTACTCTTGAGATTTTAATAGGTCAGTGTGAAATGTCAAAAAATGATCAGTTTGGGGAGAGCTGCTCATTCATCAGATTTCCCATAGCCATTCCCCTAAGGACAGCCCAAAAAAGTACAGAGAGTTGTAATTTAATTCTTATTACCAAGGCAGTTCTAGCAAATTCTATCTGCATGAGAAGCAAGATCTTTGTAAGGCTATGGAAAGGACAGAAAGATGAACTTATTAACTGGAAGACCTGGGAGACTGGTTGAAATGCAACACAAGCTGGCACATCAAATGTCAAGATAGCCATGATGAGGTACAGCCTCCAGTAAGGGAGAAATAATAAAAACAAAGGGCACTAACCAGCCATTCAAGAACAAGCCACACCACATTAAAAATAAAATTAATATAAGAAGAATAACTTGTAACAATATATTGTTGCTGGTAAAATTAATTCCTTCTGCTCCAGCAACTGGGAGGATTACAACTGAGCTCAGAGGCAACAGGGATGTCTGGCGTGGGGGGAAATGGCATCATGCCGTTGCCAATCAAAAAGTCCTGGTGTCCTGCCCTTGTAAGCCCTGTGTATGAGGCTGAAGCAGGAGAGTGGAATGGAGAGACTGCACTCATGCAAACCACTATGATAGATATTTTACATCTCTTCTGTCAGGAAGGAAAACAAAGAGATTATCTCTCATACTTAATATTTCATCAGAGACTTGTTTTACAAAGAGCTATTACCAGCAAACCCTTAAGGATCTTAAATGTTAATCTTAAACCCAATTTTCCTGGCAGATTGGGCCTGAACACTTCAGAGTTAACCAATCTGGTAAAGATGAATGGTTGCATTATCACTTTTTTTGCATATAAACTGTATATAATTCAGGCAGTAGATACCACATTATATCTAAGTGGCTGTTCTGTAGCTGCAAGATTGTTATGAATGAAGGTGATATGTTCCCAAATGATTTATAGAACTAGGGGAAGAAGGCCTACTCTCACACACATGCTGGTCTTTGTTAATAACTAACCAGAAAAGGAATCTTGGTGTTGTGCTAGGAAGCATGCTTAAAATACCGACATACTTTGTGGCTGTTGGGTCAATTGGAGAGAACTGAAATAAAACCGATAATGCTATGTCTATTCTGTTCCATCAGGTGAAACCCAGTAGCATAGTCAGTACAGTCTAAGGTCAATGTTTAGCGCAAACAACTTAGACCCTATGTGAGACGTGCGGCGAGTGGGTAGAAGCTCTCGCCGGAGTGTCGTCCTACCTCAGGAGAGAACAGGAGGTGCAAACAGACCCGCTTGCATCACCGTCGAGATGGTACAATGGGGAGTGGACACCCGCGAGCTAGAACGGGGGTTGTCTAAAATGACAGAAGGCACTCAAACTGAGAGGGAAATGGCGGGAAAAGAAGAAAGGGGCAGAACCACCATGGAGGTGGGAATAGGGGATATAAAAGGAACGAGGGACGATATACTGGGGGGTTGGGAGTTAATATGGGTGGTAGATCCCTGGATCGGAAAGGGTGAAAAGGTCTGGGTTCCCAGGGAGGAGGCAGACTATAGGAGGAGAGGGTTCCTGTCGGACCGTGGGCTCCCTTACGAGGAGATGAGGACCCCTTCTATCTAGAGGGGAGAGACGAGGAGACCATACCATTATTAGAACCGGGGACAGACACTTTGGGCTTGGATGGCAATAATCCATCCCTGGAACGATTTAGAATATAACCTGTTCACCAAAGATGTTTGGATACCCTCGTGGGATCCATTGGCAGCGAGAGACAATGTTAGCATTGACTTAGAGACAAAGGATTTGATGTTTAATGTTCCAATAAAACCCAGTTTTGATGCAGAACTAGAGACTCCAGTGTCTATGTCGAAGCCAGGAGAGGCCATATTTGAACCCTCACACCCTAGTACAGATGAGCATAATCCAAAAGCATAGTCATAGACAGCAGGGGTCAATGCCCAGTCTTATGAGTCAACACATCATTTCTAAGCAGGCAGCTCCACAGTGATGTTAAAACTATCTCGAATCAATAAGTCGCAGAGCAAAATATCAACAAGAGACAGAGAAACGGATTTCAGAAGTCTGGAGTCACATACATCAGAGCCCTCATGTCAAGAATCAATATGGCCAGCAAAGTCCAAACAGAGATAATGTTTCCAGCAGCCTCTCCAGAGTGTAACTGAGCTGCCCTGGACCACATGCAGATTTCAGCTGTGGGCAATTCAGAATATGGTCCTCCCAGAAGGTGGACTTACTTACCAAGGAGTTGCATATTCGCAAGGTGTCCCCCACTCTCGCAGAGACCTCTCCTCAACTCTCTTGGACTTTGAAAAGGTGTTGCCTCCTCTTTCCAGTTCTAGACTCTCTGCCGTTCTGAGATGGGTTCCTGCCACCCCCTCTGAGGGAACAGGCATCTCAGAGGCAGTCTTGTCCTCCGTGCTGTTTGGTCATGGAGGCTCTTGATTCTCTTCTGAAAAGAATCCTTCTGGTAGAGGTAAAAACATCTATATGAAAATATGTGGTGGGAGCACATTTGAAATGCTATTTATAGTTCTGTGTGTTCATTCTGAATTTTACAGTTACAAATCAAATACTTTAATAATACAGTATTTAACAGTAAAGAGTAAAGAACTTGATAGTTTCCTAATGTGATTTCTTGAGGTTCATGGCATGCTTACCGCTAGATGGCACTTTCCAACCACAACTTTAATTTCTAAGCCCACAGAAATTCATTAAAACATTATTTCAGCTTTATCTTTCTCCCTAACATTGTACCCCAAACACCTTACTTCACAGATCATTCCCTCTATTTAGCCCTGAAGAAGTCAGTGTGTCATACTTTATTCTACTAGATTTTTCACAATATCCAAACTTAATTACTTCAGCTCTTAATAGCCCTTTAGTTTGTTGGGGGGTTGAGAGAGCTAGTAATGGCTTACATCAGTGCTGTTAACACTTATGACATATAAACATGAAAAGGGCTAACCCAGTTCCTTTTGCTTCCTGAGGTATAAAACAAGATGGCATCCTCTTATCCCAAGAACAGAAGATGACTTGGCTGGCAACTGAATTCTGCTTTATCAATCATGTGAGGGAACCTGAAGCAGCAAGATAGATTAGGAAATACAAGGTGAGCCAAGTAACACACATTGTTTTTACTAAAGCTCTGGCCCCTAGCATCTAGCACATGGGAAGGCTGTTTCATTCTGCCTAACTGGAAGATCAGCTCTGAAGCCGAGTACAGATGACTAGTGCAGTGTAGATGCCTGTCTAAAGCTGCAAAAAACAAGGAGTGCGTTGTCCAGCATCTCCGAGGCTTGACCAGAGTTTAGCTTGACCACATTGCCCCTCTCTTATCTTTTGTGAGGGCCACTTTCCACCATTTTAGAAGACCTCGGTGGTGAAGACTTGTTCCTTGTGCCACTGAGGAGGGCCACTCGCAATCCTCCTGCTTGGATCATTTTGCAGGTGTCCACCTCTCTGCCTTTGCCCATCTAATTGATTCTTGCTATATCCCAAGGGCTCCAGCTGCAATATAGTCAGGGATGCAGATGTTTTTGAAGTTTCAATCCTTCCTCCCCACTGAACATTTTGGCTATTTATTTAAAATACATTTACCCCACCTTAAAAGGAGTCAAGACAGCTAGGACCGATAGTCATTGTAACTCAAGAACATCTAGAGCAGTGGTTATTGGATTGCAACTTCCTGAAATCCCAGCCAACACAGCTGGTGGTGAAACCTTCTGGAAAAGGCAGTCTAAGAACAGTTGGGTTCTCCAAGGTTGGGAACCACTGAACTAGAGGAAGTTACCTGCTAGACCTTGCCTTTAGGTATGCTGATGACTGCAGTTGCTGTGAGAATTGTGTAGGATAACAGTCTGAAAAACCTGTGTGGAAGTTGTTTTAGCTTTACCAGATAGTATAAAATTTTAACTCTGAAGTGATAAAAAAGAGCCAATGTAGGAGATATGGTCAAAAAGAAACACAAAATAAGTTAATGGAGAACTAAGACTAAGCATGTAAACCTTGCTGCTATTCTGAAGATAATGTCTTTTGAGCCTTTAGTGGCTGAGCCTGATTCATTCAGGCTAGCACATGATGAATGTGCAGCAGTATTTAATGTGGCCAAGAAAAAAAAATGGTATTAATACCCACTGGTATTAGAATCCATATTATTCAATATAGTGATTACTTTTTTTTTACTAGATATATACTGATGTACTAGTTTTTATTCTAGTATTAGAACGTACCCAGAAAATAGACTTATCTCATATTTGCCTGTTTACGTTCTTTGGTTATTCTTTTCTACTGTGTAGTTTTTTAAAAAAATTTAATAGATTTGTTAGGTACCTGTCAAAAGGATGTGTGGCATAAAACATAAGGTACTGTTAGTGTGGAGTATGTTATATCAGAAAACCCCACAATGCTGTGAAGCCTGGATCAAACCCGATGTGCATACCATGCTCTTGAAAAGACATTAATGCTGGGAAAGGTGGAAGGCAACAGGAAAAGAGGAAGGTGAAATATGAGATGGACTGATTCCCTAAAGAAAGCCACAGCATTGGGTTTGCAAGAGTTGAGCAGGGCAATTGAGGCCAGCTTATTTTGGAGATTGTTGATTCATAGGGTCACCATATGTCAGAGGCAACCTGGGGTTGAAGAGGGTGGGCTTCAGAACTCGCACACTACCACCCCCACCTCTCCTTCCTTTCTTTCACCAAAGACACAACAAAACCCAGCCTCCTGTTCATTCTTAACTAGGACAATGGCGTAGAAGGTAAATGATTAAAGATGTTGTTGGTAGATCTACCACAACTTCTGCCACATGTCATTGCCATTTCCTGCTTCCAAATATTTCTCCATCAGCAAAAACATTACCACAGTATAGAATTTCCTATTTATGTCAAATCCTCTGCTAATTCTATTACTGCTTGCAAGGATAAATTCACTAAGAATTATTTATCTACCACTATCACAGCATTTTTCTAAACACTTATTTTTATTAAATACTTTTGCTTTTTTTTCAAAACAATAGCTTGGACTCTTTAGTGTCTGTCAATGTTAATAAGTGATGTTTTGGGATTTTCTAGAGAATTATATCATGAATTACCTTTAAAAACAATGTTCCAAATTTTGGAAAGTGAGGATGCTTCCAGATGAGGCTTTACAGTATGATTGGTATGCTTCATTCATGGAATATACCGGTAGTTATACCGGTAGTAGATGATGTTATAATCATCTCATATTTTTCCATGCGTTATTATTTTCTCCTTCCACCAAAAGATCTAGGAGCCGTCTATCAGACACATGCACACTTCATTCAACCCAGAGCATGAATTATTTGGACTACAACTCACCGAGCACAGCCATGATCGTTGGGAAAGACAATAGTAGGTGATACCTTTTGAAAGAATTAGACCACTATAACAAACAAACAAGATAGCGTTTGACTCCACACAAATCTTCAAGTCCGCCTTATGTTTTTTTCCCTAGTGATCTGATAAAGGTATTGGGTATGCAGTATGGTGTAGTGGATAGGGTGGTGGATTATGACTGAAAGCCAGGTTATGAATCTCCACTTGATGGAAACTCACTGGGGGGAATAGAACTGGTAAAAATATCTCACTCACCTTGAAAGCTCTATTAGGATTGCTAGAAGTCAGTTTTGACCTGACAGCATGTAACTAATAAAGCTGTCACCTACCCTTGTATTTGGATTGTGTAAAAGGACCACATGGCCCTTTTTAATTTTTTTGTTTACATGAAACCAATGGTGTAAAGGCAGTTTTCACAATTAGTTGGCCACCAGTTATTTACCCAGTTGCACAATTGGTTGTGCACATAGTACACAACTAGAGGACTTGGGGATGTGCAACAGAAAGATGGCAAGTTGACTCCCACTGGCTGCACTGCAAATTTGGAATAGGTTACACCACTGGTTCTTAACCTTGGGTTACTCAGGAGTTTTGGACTGCAACTCCCAGAAGCCTTCACCACCAGCTGTCCTGACTGGGGTTTCTGGGAGCTGCAGTTCAAAAGCATCCGAGTAACAAAGGTTAAGAACCACTGGGTTACACCACCATTTTGAGGACTGGTTTGCCCATTCTTAATGATATATCAGTTTTACAGCAGTATTCTGTCATCATGTAAAACAAAGGAGTATTTGACAATAAATATTCTACACATTTCCTCTCTCTTATTCTGATCTATATCTGTATTTCCATACTATTATAAAAATGATTGTTTTCAATTAGTTAAATGCTGCCTCTCACCCAGGATTGCCAAATTACTTTGCAGATTTATGCTTGCTACGGGAAATTATATTAAGTATTGGTGGCCAATTGCTGCTAATTTACAACATGGTGCTTGTGTTTCTTGATGTATGCCCTCTGAAACACAACTGACACATTGTTAAAAAGCAGCAATTTGCCACTAAGACCTATGTAATTTCCCATATGCAAACATAAATCAGCAGTAGGATTGCATACATTACTATATATACAGTACCATAAATTTCCAGTTAGTTATGTGAAGCAGGAGCAGGATGGCATCTGTTCAGCCACTGTGATTTCTCTCAATTTATTTTCTATCGTACATAGTAGATGATAAGTGCGGAATGGCTCTTTTTATTCTTGAAGATGTGAAGGACCAGTTTCTCCTCCCCATTAATGTAGTTTTTAAAGTAATGAAATTAGTAAATTTTACTCTTTTAGTTAAGTCTGAATAATTATCATAGGCAAATCTTTTGCTACAAAAATTCAGCATGCTTGAGTTCAGTTGAAAACTACAACACATAATCAGTATTCATGTATTGATATGCTAACAAATATTCTTCCATTAGATTCAGATGGTATTATGGACTATCTAAGTCAGCCTTGTCCAACCTCATACTCTCCATATGGGACAATTTTGGACACTGTATAGGTGCACATTTCAATGGAGCCTGTGCAGTAGAAGACCCTGGATAGTAAAATACGTTTGCCTCAGCCACCCTAAATAGAATTCCTCCACTTGATGCCTAGATTCTCAACTTGTACCCTTAATTGTGGTCTTCCTATTGCAGACAAACAAAATGTATGAATATTAATATAAACATTAGCTTTGTTGCTGACTTTTAAGTGGAAACTCAGACAATCTGAAAGACAAAGCATTAATGAACTTATATTTGCTTCTATCTGTGAAGTTAAACATGGCATATAGTATGAAAATTGCCCCGGACAGTCTTATGGATGACAAAGCAATAGTCCAAATCCAGTTGATAGGTCGAGCAACAGCAGACCTACAGAACTAGTTCACTTGCCATTCAGCATTTGATTGAATGGCTTTACTCCAGTTCAGATTCACAATCAGATTTAGGCCAGTGATTTTAAACTTTATGTGTATTTTCCTTTTGGTTTCAAATATAGAGTAGAAGTTAGTGTTATAAGGAGAGTGGTAACATGAGCCGGGTGAAAAATGAGCATTCAAGAGAATGTACTGTATTGGTGCTGAGATGATTTAGATAAAGATCCTGAATATTATTTGTTATGCAGATAGTAAGATAAGTCAGAGACAGGGGGCTGAGAAAAATCCGTAGAACTATGTTTTCAGGAGTGAATGGAGATCTGTTATTGATTGGAAGTGGAAGGCAGAGATTTTTCAGACAAGGCAGAAGGTGAAGTGTTGGAAATTTCACCATTTGATGCAAAAGCAGTAGTTGCTGCTCTTGAATGAATCTGTTTAGAAACTGAAGATGGAGGCTGAGTATCAGAAACTGGCATCTGTATCAGGCAAGCCTGAGTTGATATTGAGTGGAAACGCCAAGCTTCTGGGGTTGGAGTGGGGACAGTGATTGGTGTGGCCAATGCTGAAGAGGCTGAAGAAAAAAAGGGACAGAGGTTGAAGAGGTAGCCATTGTGAAGTCCAGGATCAGTACCAAAGAGACCAGCGTGCTCCACCATGAATTTCTAAATTATCTTTGTTCATGAGTTTGCGACAACTGTAACATTTTCAAAAATCTGCCTTGGTTATTTGTGGTAAGAATAAATGTTCAGGGCTTTCAGAAATAGGTTCAGTTAGGTAAAAACTAACCGAGAGAGTTGGGAAGACAAAATGTATGGACTTACTTGAAGTGTTGTGTAATTTTTAAGTTTACTTTTGAGCAAACACAAAGAGACATGTGGGATTTTGATTCCTTTTTTTTAATAATAATAAATTGTGCCAGCAGAAGCTTTCGAAAGTCACATGATAAATAAATAACAGTTAAATTGAGTTCCTGAGGAAGAACCTACCACATAGAAGAATGTCAGATAGATGTAAATATAAAAACATGGCATTAATATATAAAAAGTACTAATACTGAATCTTTCATAAACCACCACATCACAAGCACTGCATATCTCAGAACACTCCTTTCATACAAATGTAAACAAATACACAATCATTTTGTTTAGTTTAGCCTGATGGATTTATATATGCTGTTCCTTTACATATTTAAACAAAGGGTAGGATATGATAGGCTAAAATGTTAAGGAATAATATGTGGAATAATATAGGAAAAAAATGATGCTTCGGATTTAAAAACTTAAAGCAAAACCACAGTGGAATATTGCCCTCAAGGGTTATTGCAATCAATTGTTTTTAAAAAAAGGACTGTTAAACTGAATTAAGGATTTTGGGAAAAATCTATTTAGGCATATATAGAATATAAATGAAGATATGTATGGCTTAATTATCTTTAGTATTCCATTATCACTTTGAATAATATAGCTAATAAAATGCATATTTTAAACAATTAAAAATAACATTTTAAATTATGCTTGCATTTTGATAGAGATGAAAGATTAGTATGGTCCATCATAATATATAAGGATACAACAGACCAGATATAATCAGGGTCAGCATTTGGGTATTTCACTTAGACATCTAAGGCTATAGCCCCAAATATATAACTTCTGTGTATATGTGGTTAGAACAGGTCTGTCTCGTTAATTAAGACAGAGTAATTCACAAATCCTAAAAGACTTGCAACAGAGTCAGAAATTACTATGATGTTCGTAAATTATGATCATTTTTACCTGATCACATTATGGCAAGCTATGCCTCCCAGAAAAATCTTTCTCTTTTGATTTCTTATATTGAAGATAGTACCCATCTCTCATTTTTTACAATCTATAAGCTTTAACCATGCAGTTTCTAGGCCCTGAAGCAAATCACAGAAAAGCATCTAGCATTACAAGGTATCTTTATGGCCTTTGTGACTGTCTAAAATGTAAGGCCCAAATAAACACGTCAAGGGTACATATAGTGGTTTTGCCACCACATGATATAATTGTAAAAATCAAATGATGCACCTGGGGAAGACCCCATAGTTCAATGCCAGAGTACATGTTTTGTTCCTACAAAGTCTGTTGTTCAATCCCCTGATGACCCAGATAAAATGTCTCAGATAACAGGGTTTGGAAGACTTTTGCCCATAAGAGACTGTTGGCTAGAATTAGCAAGTTTGGTGGACCCAAGAGTCTGACTCAATATAAAGGCAACTTCATCTCTTTGATACACTCTAAATATATTGTCTCTTATTTATCCTTAACATTACTGTACTAAGATTTCAATTATTTTTAAGGATAAAACATAAGGCTCCTGAATAAAATTTTAAGGCACAGAGAATTGTAAATTCTTGTCTATATATTCTTCATAAACAGACACTAAATAGTATGGTTAAATACTATATGGGGAGTTTCAAACAACTGAACACTGCACTATCATGTATTTGATGAGTGGGGCCAAATATTCTGGCCTCACAATGATTTTAAAAGCAATGTTTTGTAGTTTATCCTTCTTTGGAAGGATAAATATTCTGTTAAAACAAGCTCTCCCTTGAATAAACTCACCACAAATCCGTAATCTGAATATAGTTCTGTAATTTCTTTTAAAAACACGTAATGGTGGCACACAGCAATAATGGAAAAACCATCCACACAATACCTTTTTCACCACACACATTCTGAAGTTCTAAAAATTGTAGTTCTTCTGAGGGGGAAAAAGGACACACAGGGCCTGCCTGTGAATGGCAAGAAAATGCTAATTTCAAACAGAATAAAACAAAATAATCACAGCCCATGCAACATTCTCCACATACCAGTCACTGAAATCACGCCCCAGTTGACACTTACTCATACTTTGATCATACTAAATTCTAAAACTGTTTTCAAAAGGAAATAAAGCAGCTTCAAAACTTATATCAGGATTTTGAAATGTGGAAACATACGTATAAAGGTAATGGTGTAAATCAAACTGGCACCAGTACATTCAGGAGACTATACTGGACTTTTCTGTCTCTCTTATTAAACATTATTGCACAGAGACCTTTAATTACATGTTCTTCAGTTTTACATATTCTTTTAAAATGTGACTTAAGTGCGGTGGATCATTTTTTTTAAAAAAAGGAGAAAAGAATAACAGCAGCATGATTTGTCAAAGTTAATCCCTATAATTTAGTAGGAAAAACACAACTTTGCTATAAACAAATATAAGTGCTCTTTGCTCACTTAAAACAAAGCAAACCCAAAAAACAGCAAAATGTGTGGAGGCCTGAAAATGCTCAGAGAATGCAACAGACCCAGAAGATCTAGGAAGGGTAATGCACTATCTCTTGGTAAGTATGGTGAACATCTGGATTTCAAGTGCACTCATCACTTTAGCTATTTACAGTACTAAATGGCCTTAAATCAGAACCAGCTTGGTTCTAGACCCTTGCCCTGCAAGTCCCTGTCTCCCCAGACCTGTACTACCCTCAGTGGGAATTCATCCCGAGTAAGGTCTATATAAAGAAGACCCTACGTACTGTATATCAATAAAGTGTTCAGGCATTTTTTAAAAACACTCTGTACAATATTTTACACATATACAGGTTGACAGGCTCCAGTCTGATCAAGTCCATCTTTATTTTCTATATCAGAATTCTCAGACTGGCTTACTTCCAGCCCAGAAGGCTTTGGGTATCTAAATGGGTATCCATTGTCATCAAAGAATCTTCGGAAAGTGAACTCATAGAAGGCGTGTTCTGTGTGTTTGCCACTACAAGAGGTCTGTGGATCCCACACCCTGGCACTATCTTCGTTAGTGTTATCCCAAGGACTGTCTTCTTCCACTGGGTCAAAATTTGAGGTGTCCATGGGATGGCTGATCTTCGGGACATATGGAGCTGGCTGCCTGCGGATATCAGTGGAGAAGTCTATGGAGTCAAAGAAAGGGTGAGCCTTGATATCATCTGCTCCGTTTCTTCCAAGTCTCTCTTCAGCAGAGCAACACAGTTTTGTGATCAGGTCACTTGCTTCAGAGCTTAGCTTGACTTGGGAGGGAATGTGCAGTGTATTCTCCCAGTTTATCACCTGAAGAGCCAAAATATACAGTTAAGCAGTTGGTCCCGATGATTGTTCTGCTTTTTGTCATATCTTCTACGCATTATCAAATAAATTAGACACAGAGGTTTATTTACAGTGGTGCCTCGCTTAGCGATCGCTCTGCTGAGCGATAAAATTGCTTAGCAATGGGGTTTTGGCCATCGCCAGAGTGATTGCTTAGCGATGGCCCCTATGGGGGAAAATCGCTTTGCGATTATCGCGGGGAAGCGATCATGGCAAAGCAACCCTTTTTGCACAGCTGATCGGCGGTTCCAAAATGGCCACCTGAAAAACAAAATGGCCGCCCGCTGTTTTGCCTCGCTTTAGAGGCACTGAAAATGGCCACCCCTATGGAGGATCTTCGCATAAGGTCAGTTTTTAAGCCCATAGGAACACATTAAACACGTTTTAATGCGTTTCTATGGGCTTTTTAAAATCGCTTAGCAATTAAATCGCTTAGCAATGTTTTTCTTGGAATGGATTAACGTTGCTAAGTGAGGCACCACTGTATTTGATTGATTGATTGACTGACTGACAGCTGGATAGTGGCAGTAAAGAGTAAGCAATGAAGTAAGTACTGTATATTATATTGGCATGTTCCCTGCTACCCCACTTCTTTCACCATGATCACCCTGAGATCTGGGAGAACAATGTTACATTATTATACTCTTCCCACAGTGATCAACCATATGCCTATGGGAAGCTCCGAATCAGGCCAGGACTAAAGCAATTTTTATATTCCTTAGAAAATGGTATTCAGGGGCACCCTGCCTCTGATACTGGATGTAATATGTAGCCATCATGACTGATAGACATTGATAGTCATATCCACTATGAATCAGAATAATCCATTAAAAGGCTATTCAAGTTGGCAGCCATCAGAGGTGGCTAAGTTCCAGTTTGTTTGTTCACTATGCATTAATTATCTGTAATCAACTTCCCACTGTTCTACTTTATTATACAACCCCAGAACCTAGTAACATGTGAGACAGAAAAAAAGTTATTGCTCTCTAATTTCTATATACCATACAAAAATGTATACACTTTTATCACACCCTTCTTTGCTTGCATTTTTCACCTAAGCTAAAAAAAGCCCTAAGTTGTAATATTTCTTAGTAGATACTTCACCCCCACCCGTATCATTATGGCTGGTACTGTACAATGTTTCCAGCTATACAAGAGCTTTACTGATCCTGCTTTCCAAAAATAAACAAATATTAAAAAATCCTTTATTTGTCTAAACCACGTCTTAATTACCGTATTTTTTGCTCCATAAGACACACTTCCCCCCCCCCAAATGTGTGTGTGTGGGAAAGTCTGTGCATCTTATGGAACGAAGGCGGAGATTTCGCCCCCGTTGGCCCCGTGGGGGGGGGAGCGTCACAAGGGTCAGAGTGAGCTCACTGGGACCCTTGCAACGCTCCTCCCACCCCTGCACGGGGCCAGCGTGGGCAAAATCACCAGTTTCTGGGAGTCTTTTGAGGCTTGGGAAGCCTCTGAAGAGTCCCAGAAGGTGGCGATTTTGCCCCCTCTGATCCCCGAGGGGGGCAGGGTGAGTCTCTAAAGCATCCTGGAACACACCCTAGGACCCTTTGGAGGCTCACCCTGCCCCCCCCCGCTGGGCCAGAGGGGGGGAAATCGGCAGCTTCTGGGACTCCTCTG